AACTAAAACTGTAATGATAAAAGAGGATGACGGTATGAGAAGAAAAAGTACACTACATTCCTCTCTGTCAACAGTCAACACCTCACTTTGTAGCCGCAACATACATTCATAGTCGTGTGTGTGTGTGTGTGTGTGTGTGTGTGCGCGCGCGTGTGTGTATGAGTGTGTGAGTGAAAGGGAAAGTGAGTGATAGTGTGTGAACATGTGAGCTGGGCAACATGTGTGCTGCTGAGAACATGTCACATGTCGCTGTTTCTGAGCCACCGTGGTTCCAAACTGTGCTCTTGTTTGTGAATGTAAAAGTATTCATCCATTTTTTAGATGAGATAAACCTTCATTGGTGCCCAGAGTTGAAGTTGCACCGGCACAAGGACATATAGAAGTAGGCTATAGAAAGAGATCTTTTTTTCCCAGGATTGCGAAGTCGTGGCTACTCTGCCTCTGATTGGCTCACTCTAAAAAAAACATAAACATAAATAAAGAAAGAAAGTAATAAATAAATAATAAGTAGTATATAAAATAAAAATAAAAATAGAAACTATAGAAGAATGACATAGTGGTGTGATTAGTACATAATATAGTATTAGTATGCAGTATTAGAGGGTCCACAAGTGAGAAGGACTTCTAACACTAACTTCATTAAAGTAAATCTTCCTCTCTGCAAAGACCTGCAAAGGACTGACTTTACACTGACTGACTGCAGTGTAGCAGGAACAGTGAGATGTTGTTTAGAGCTGACCGAGCTAACCTGCTAACCAGCTGTCAGACGCTCCGTGTCTGTGCTTGAAACAGAGAGTGCGCTGAAGCTTTTACAGTCACTAGAAGCACATTCACAACAGTCTGTAAAGGTTTCTGCGTGGTACCTGGGTGGGCTGCCCTCCTCTGATTAGAGTGCTTTAACACTTTTTTTATCTATATAAATGGCACAACATAAAAACAGTCAACTCTATCTCAGCATTGGCCTTGCAGGGATCAAGGTGATATAAAACAGTAAAGGGCATGTTGAGCCATTTTCAACTCATGAAATGCAGATTTGAATACATTTGGTGAGAATGTCTTTATTAACACCAACATTGAAGTTGTCAAAAAGCACAAGTGTGAAGTACCTCACATTTCCTGCACTGACATTCAGTTGGGTGCTCTGCCTCAAAAAACAGCAATATCTGTAATATCTGAGTCCTTTACCAGGTCGGGAACCGGCAAAAAATACATGTATAGTTAAATAAATTAAGACAGAAGAGCAACACATAAGGTGATGTTGTTTTTTCTAAGACATTTTAAAACCCATCAGTGATGATGTGATGTGAGAGAACAGACAACACTGCTTCCTTCATATCATGCCATTATGTGTTGTTGTTGTTGTTGTTTTCTCAGTGTTTATGACTTCAGTGTGTCTGTTGGGTGGTCTTTTATGTGTGGTGTGTGTGTGTGTTGTGTGTGTGTGGGTGGTGTGTGTGTGTGTGTGTGGTGTGTGTGTGTGTGTGCGTGGGCTCGCCTCTCCGCTCGCTCGCGTAATTTGTAATAAAACTTCTTTTAACATGTGCTGCAGTCCCTCCTTTACACTCTCTCTCTCTGTCCTCACACACACACAACCTCTCAGCATTTCACAGTTTTACTTGGGGGAGAAACTCAATAAGCATTTTTTCTAAAAGGCTAAATGAACACACACACACACACACACACACACACAGGGAGGTAGATCCAGTGAATACCAGGAGCATGTTCACAGTTGTGAATGAAAGACGTTCTGTCTCCTTCTTTCTCTCTCTCTCACTCAGTGGAATGTATTCTTGGCACGACGCCAGAAACTTCACAGTGGCGGGAAAACACACACACACACACACACACACACACATATCTGCACTGTAAAAAGTGACGAGTGCCGACAGTAATTTGGTTGTTGTCTTTGTATGTGTGTCTAAGTGTGTTTGTTTGTGTTTCAGGGTTAGATCTTGCAGAGTAGTGTGCATTAAACTTCATTAGGTTAATTAAGCTAAAACCAATCAATTAGAAAAGGTTCCGAACCAAATAAACAACTTATAACTGTAAAGTTCTTAAAGGAGCAGATAAACTCAGCTGATGGACAAAGTGTGAACATGCAGGATCAATGGTTAGAGGTTAAAACCCAGACTCCTTCTGTTTAGTTTTTATTCATGGCGTAGTCTTAACTAGGCATGTCATATAGGCTGTTGTTATTTCCAGAATAAGTTAGGCAACTCACGAATACCATTAGTTGGCATGTTAATAGTACCACATGCTTTAGGGCTATTTATTTATGAGTGATGTTACTGAAGAAAGAAACAAGACAAACATGCAGTTTCTTTAAAACAAAGGTCTGATTATGATAAATAGTGCAATTCATAAAGTTAATTTCAACATATTACAGTATAAGCAAACAAAACATAATGAAAAATGACATATCATTTGTGATAATTGTTGTACTGCTACCTGTATAAATGCACCCACACAAAGTGAAAAACATTGTAGCCTGACACAAAATGACCTGTCATGTGTCATTTTTTGCAGCGTGTGACCACACACACACTCTCTCTCCCAGCTGCTGTGTTTCACTGCTGCTAGCCCTGGCTCCTCCCTCTTCGCCTTCCGATTGGCTGCTGAAGTTTGGCGGGCTTTGCCCCATCCTCGTGACTACTACTGCTGCTGCAGTCATCGAGGCAACACGCGGGAACAAAAGTTCAGCAGGGTGGTTGCCCCAGAGACACATCCCCGAACACAACCTGCTCTGTAAACAGGCCACCGGCTCGAGGCCAAGAGACTGAAACCCGCAGCAGGGACAGAAACAGTTTCACAGATGGGCGAGTTCTGTTTGAGTCCACAAAACAGAACAACCAGGAGTCTGTGAAGAAGATGAAACTCAATGTTTATCTGAAATAAAGATTTTTATTCTTGAGAACAGGTGACACTGAGATAATGTATGTTTTAATAGTATTGCTGGAGTAATTCTCTCACTCACTGTGTAAAAAAAAACATGTTACAGTATAAATTAAAGAGAGACTATATAACTTTTGAGGATACCAATACACATTTAGCTTCTACATCCTGTAATGACAACCTATGGTCACAGTGGCTGCTATTCAGCAACAAGTTAAATAGGTTCACTTTGCCGATGGGAGAAACGTACATCGGTATTTTATAACAATTACTACTAAGACTTAAACTGCATTCACACATACAGATACAGTCTGTGGGAATGTTGCATTGAGCACATAACTTGTCTTCTGACGTTGCTGCCATACAACACATAGTTTCGTGCTGCACAGTTTGCTTCTCGAATACAGAATAGCCTTGTTTGCAGTCTGTTCTCACCCCGTGGTACAGGTTGTTGAAAGTTTAATGCATCAGCCTTGCTGCCCTGTATCTGCGCCTCAGGCGATCCTCCCTCCGATAGTGGAGCGAAGTAGTAAACAAATATGTGCTTCTGTTTCTGTGGGAATCAAAACAAATGTGACATTGCATCAGAGGACATTTGCATACAGTTAAACCTTTCTCAACTCTTCCTAAGGGCCATTGGGCATCTTTTACATTGCTATAGCTTAGTGGGCGGCAACAGGATTAACAATTTATAGGTACGTAAAAATTTATTTATCATCTAAATTTCAAAAAAAATCAAACCAATCCCCAATATGCATTATTTAATCATATGTCAAGACACCGATTTTGTTTTATGGATTCACTCCAGTATCACCATAAAAAAGTGGCTGATATAACCATAACTGTCAAACATGACTGCTTGTTGCTGTAGTGTCATGATGTGGGCAGTTTATTTTAGAAGTAGGTCAGGTTAAGTTGTCTTCTATGTTACCAATACTTGGTAACAGAGTGTACATTTATAAATATCTTGACCTTGTAAAAACCAAATATGGCATGATGCTGTTCATATCCAATATCAGACGCCTCATAAGTCTAACTGTTCTGAGAAAGAGACGTTCGCTCATTCATTCATATATATTATTAAATATAAAATATATTATTTATAGGATTGAACAGAGTTTCTCAAACGCTTTACACCGCCAGCCATATTAGAAAATATCTGAAATATCTTCAATCACCATTATATATGTATTATTTAAATACAGCGTCGGCCGACCTTATTCAGTTCATATTTTAGATTGAAACTAAACATGGATGTATGCGCTACATGAATGAGCATAACTACCTAACAGGCTGATATTTACACAAAATTTATTTTAATTGTAATTAAATTGATCTCATAGTTTAAGTATTTTAATTTTTAATTTTGTAGTATTTTGTTAGTATGCTTTTAAATACATTTATTTCATTTTTAACAATATTTCAGAGATTCCTCTGATCCAAAAATGCCAATTCTGTTTTTAAGAAACTAAATAAGAAATTACATAAATGTCAGTTTTAGAACATACTTCTTTACTTCCCTCCGCTGTGGCTCATACCAGCCCACCGGTTCCTTCTGAAGATGTAAATCTTTAAAAAGTTCATAACGTTATTTAATTTACTAAGAAAACAGCTCAGTTATTTTCTAAAAAGGCTGGTCACTGGAGTGTTTACCAAATGTTTCTAAAACTGGAGGAAACCGTGCATTTGTTGGGGACTATTTTCAACGGTGGATTAATACACATTTGATGCATTTTCTGGCAGCATGACAGTGTATGTGGGAAACTTCAGTGTGTGTGTTCATGGTGTTTTTGGTCTCTATCTAAGATATATCAGGTATTCGAGATTTCTCATAATCGAATTAATCAATAGCTCTAAATTTCTTCAGCTGAAGGTGTTGGGAGTATTTCTTATGTTCAAGAACAGTGAGAGTGTTTGATATTCAAGAAAGTGAATCACGATTTTCTTTTTCCAGTGTTTTCTAACCCCAGCTTCATTAATCTAAAGTCTTATCTTATTGGTTGAGTAATCATGGAAATATTGCGTTGGGACCAGGTTTAGTAACTCCTGCTGCTGCTGCTGAATCTCTGAGCTCTTCTAGTCAGTTGGTCATCAAGTTTGTTCTGGTTTCAAGTCAAATCCGCAGCTGGACAGGATGAAGAGACATTTATTCACTCACACAAAAAGAAAAGGAATATCGGCGTCAGATCAGTGAAAGCAAACAGAGTGAGGTGAAACTTGGCAGAAAGTGTGGAACAGAATGACGTCTGTTTACTGGACGGATCAGAGGTTTTGTTTTCAGTCAACGGATCAGAGCGAACACGATGACGAGAGAGAAATACAAACAAAGGAAGAAAGAGAGAGAGAGGGCAGACAGTTTGATGTGAGTTCACCACAGACTGACCCACGAGACCCTCTAGTGGTGTGAAGAGATTCAGCTGTTTAATATATCCACTGAAATACATCCTGAGGACACCATAACTTTGATCTTAAACTTTATTTTATCTGTTCTCCCCTTTTGTGTCGTTTGTTTTACTCTTTTTCATTCACCCATGTCTGTCTTTCTGTTATTATAAATAACAAGAGGACCAGCTCAGTAAGGCACACAAGAACATACTTTCCAACTTGCTGTGTTGTTAGCTGAGGTCAGGTAAAGCATGTTTATTTAATAAAGCAGCTTTCAAACACAACATCATAAATAAATAAGACATAGAAATGTATTACTGTAGCCCACTTATTTGGTGTAGGAGCAATGTATTAGCATCGTACGCTTGTCACTCATGGTAACTTTGTGTGTGTTGCAGAGGTAGGTGCTGGTTTTTACCACCTGCCTGACATCATTCTGTTTTTTTTTTTTGTTCTTTGATGGCACAGTATCGCATCATGCAAGTCTCCTGTGAGATAATGGTGTTTCTATAATAAACAACCACAACACACTTTACTGAGCTGACTGAAGAGATAAACGCAACAGGTGCAGAGACACAAAATGCATCCAGATATAAAAATACCAACTCTGTGTGTGTGTGTGTGTGTGTGTGTGTAAAGGCTCAGGCTCAGCGTTGTGTGTGTGTGTGTGTCAGAGTGTGTTTTGTGTTTGCAGATTACGTCTGCCACGTGGCGCCGCGGCAACATCAGACAAACCGTTTCCATGGCAAGGGCCAACTGAAAGGGTCGGTACGCTCTCGCCGGGCACAGCCAACCCAGAGGACAAGTTTGGCGGGAGAGGTGTTTGTGTTGTGTGTGTTGTGGAGAGAGAGAGAGAGAGACACCCACCCACCCAACAAACCAAAACAAAAAAAAACCAACTCACAAAATGAGGAGCCCAAAAAACCAACAAAACAAAAAAAAAAACAAAAGAACAAAAAAAGAACACAACACCTCCAAACACAAACAAAACATAAAAAGAACAAGTAAAAAGTAAAAGAGTAGAGAGAGAGGAAAAGACAAAACAGAACTCTGTTGTTTGTAATGGATAATGACTGAAAGAAATCTTTTTTGTGTTTGTTTAAGAATAAAACGTGGGGGTGTTGTGTGTGTCCTGCATGTAATATAATCAGGGAATGATCTCATCATAAAGGTAATCTGAGGAACTGTGTAATATAATGCAAACGTTTCAAGGTCACAAGTCATTGATTGTTATTTGTTACAGGGACAATACTCAAGTACTCGGATCCTTTACTTAAGTACAAATATAAAAATACTGTGCTTCATTTCAAGTACATTATCAGATTGTTAATACTGCATCAGTGTGTAAACAGCATTTTAGCTGGTCGAGTTGGAGCTAGTTTAACCGTTGTATATACAATTTAACAAAGTTCTGCAACATAAATATGTATTAATTCATCTCTAATACATCCCTGAGACGCTGGTTAACTTACTTTGACCCTTCACAAGTCCCGCCCCTTTCTCCAATAACAGTTGAGCAAGCCTCGGTCAGCTTTCGCCTTTCCTGTACTCTTGATAAGCTGATGGTTAAAAGATAAAAGCATCACATACAGTCAAATCTTAAGTTAGCTAGCTAATGCTAACATTACCTAGTTAGCAAACAATTTATGTAGATTAGTTACCTTGTTATTTAAAGTTTTATTTACATTAGCTAATGACTATATGTCGCTTTTATCTTTTAACCATCTTTCAAAATGTTGTATTTTCCGCATAGACGACTTGTTCAACTGTTATTGGAGCAGAGAGCAAAAATGGGCGGGACTTAGAAAAAACTATCAGGCAAAAAAAAATAGAACTTATCCTTCCTCTTTCTCTTTTTTTACTTTGATATGTTGATATTAGTAAGAGGCATCAACATATATGAAGATGGACTACATGACACATCTCCAAAAGTGAAGCCAAAACATCTCTATCGCCCTCTAGTGGCTGACTGCAGTACAGGCCAAATACATTGGCATCTTAGGTAGTTCTTATCAGATAAGTTGGATTTTAATTAGTTATTGGAGCTACAAAAAAAGCCTGATTAACAGCTGAGCCCTGCTCGCGATTGAGTCATCCAATCCCCGGTCAGTACTGAGTGGAGAAAGGCAGCGGCCGTATCTGGGATATTGTGGCTTAATTTTTGTGCAGTGGGAAGAAGTGAAGACGCAACATCCATCTTTTATATGTCAATATGTTAATAGTAAGAGGCAACAATATAAAAACTACGTGTGTGTGTGGAAATAAGTAATATTCTATGTAAACACAGACTGGTCCAGCAAGTGAAGTAAGTCACCTGATAACAATTTGTCCCATTTGTCCAGCTTGCTGACTCCCACCAGTTATCAGCTCACTCACAGCAGTATAACCATGAAATACTCAAACACACACTACAGACGCTCTTTTTTTCCTCCATCATCCCTCCGTTATCTCTGTGAGTCTTGGAGGCTGTGGCCTTCTGCTTCCTTTATCCTGCCGCTGTTTAGTTTGAGATAACAGGTGGGTTGAGCACACAGTGTTTGATCTTCATATTATCAGTTAACCTTTAATGTGACTCACCTATACTGAGTTTGTTCCTGCTGCTGTGTGATCAGGAGCCATAATGGCTCTCCGGCTCAAAGTCTGTTTGCTGGAGTGTTTTATAGAGGAACTGCTGCGTGAGTCAGACGTTGTAAAAGAACGGAAATGGCATTAGAGTTGAATGTTTACATTACTTTCTTAATTTACAACACCCTTAAAGGAAAGTGTTCAGGATGTGAAATACTGATACTGTACTTGTTTATGCAGCGTGTGCATTGTCTGTATGGAGTCTTATTGACTGACTGCCCACCTGTCATTACGATCAGCAGCACAAAACATCAGAACTATTCTTCCAAACAACTTGTAGGTCACATTTTCTAGGTCTGAAGTATCAACTTCATGTCAAAATGTGCAGCAAATTTCTATCTTAATATTGTGTCTTTGCATCGGTTTTAAAATCAATTGTGCCAATTTTAAAATCTAAAATAACTTTTTGGTCTGTAGTGCACTGCATTTACCCTTTGCCAGATTATTTGAGATTCTAGGTGTGAGCATTTATGCATTATATGGTACATAACATTTTAAATCCCCACATTAGAACAAAAAAAAGTGGTGTGGACTACTGAAATCTTTGTTTACTGCTCAAAAGTCTCATTTACACATTAAATGTGAGCATTTAAAGGACCAGTGTGTAAGTTTTTGGTTTTTACATTTGGGTTTAATCAGGCCTTTAAGCTTGAACTTCATTATGGTACCGTCTTGCTTATAAGAAAATAGTATAAGACAAATGTTTGACAAATAACCTCAACTCAAGATCCACTTACTAGCTCATCTGCACATCACAAGGTCTTCATCAGAAAATGTAATGTATTGAACAATAATATATACCATTATATTATTAATAATATCATAAGATTGTATATCACAATAAATAGATTCTTATTTATTTATAGATTGTTTTGCCACACAGACAGATCTGCAAATCGAGAATTGCCCCCTGGCCTCCCATGTTCTGATGCTTACAGAAGGTCCCGGGATTTTAACTAGCACCAGTTACAAGGCTGTTTGCAGGCCTTCACTGCTAATGGCCTCTGTACTGTCTGTGAGGCAGATCTGATCAAACTCATCTGTGAGATCACACACACAAAATATCTCTCTCTCTCCGTCCCTTAAAGTGATTTATCATTCTGAGGTAAGCAGCTGAAAATAGCCCAGTGACACTTCCTACCTGCGTATGCGTTTATCTCTGTGTGTTCCTATAAAACCACTCAGCTCTGTGCTGACCAATCGGGTGATAACCTCCTGGTGATGTCACAATGATGCAGGACCAAAGATAGAGAAGACACACACATTCACATCTATCACACATCTTTTATTTGTATCTTTAAGGAGAAGAAATTTTAAAAGCAAAAATTATGTCTCCATGACTCATCACTTATGCCCCACTAGAAGTGTGAGACAGTGTATCTATTTTCAACCCTTTTACAAACCCTGAATGATTTTATTTACACAACTGTAGCAAAACCTCGCTCTGCACTCATCTATAGTAATTTCAACCTGTACAAAATTAAAGGACCAGTATGAAAGATTTAGTGGTTTCTAGCTGTCAAGTTGCAGATTGCAAACGACTGAACATCACTCCCTCTGTATTTGGAAAACTTGGAAATAAGAACAGGCATTGACATCTGTAACAGAAACTACGGTGGCTGTGAAATTCACAAAAGATGCAAAAGGTCCTATCTAGAGCCAGGTGTTTATGCTGTTTGTCTGTCTTCTGGGCTACTGCGGTAGAAACATGACGGCTCAACATCTATCTAAAACCCTCTCTTTTCTCCTCCTGAAGTATATTTTTAATGAATCTTGAACTTCCAAACTTTCCAATTAAATGTTATTTTGTGCAAGCTAACCCCTTCCCATATAAAACTGCACTCAACCATTAGCTCATGAATAGCAGAGTAATATCATAAGAGGTGTGTGTTTGGATTTCAGCTGGATGAAAAGTTTGTTTACATTTCCAAAGAATGTGGTGGAGATAACCCTCATATCCTCCCTCATGAACCCTGCTCACATACTCTGTTGGAAATACAGTATATCACATTACTGAAGGTAAAGATGCTTCAACCTTTCACAGTGACTGAAATACTCCCACAAGCGCTCTTAAAAACATAAAACTTGAAGGCTCACAGTTCACTCACAGTTGCTTGCTGGGCAGAAAAACTGTAACTCTGTTCCAGTCCAATGTCCATGTAAGCTGTGACAGCGTCATAGTGAGCCGGTGAGCACGTGACCAGACACTGAAGCAGCTAAATGGAATTCAGCTAATGTTTTAATTCAGTGACATACAATAAGAGGAAGAGCAGCGAAAGCTTCACCAACATGAGGCTAAAGAAAGAATCCACATTAAGATCTGTACATGTTAAATAAAGTGTCACTTATTCAGACAAAATGGCTGACAAAGAAGAATTAATGTCTGAAAACCTTTACAGATATTGTCCATCATAAGACATTAGGTACTTCATCAGCAGTTTACATTTTCTTATATAGAGTGACTGAAGAGCAGACAAAACTCAAAATAAGATAAAAATGAGAGATTAAAACTCAGATACAATCATCGTTTGTTCATCAATTGTCCAATGTTGTCCCTGTTGTCTATTTAAGTGTTCATTTTACTGCAAATACAGTAAACTCGCATTAGATTAAATTACGGTAGTTCCCTTTAAAATATTAATAGTTCTGTCTGGCATAGTAATCAAAATAGCCACCATAAACATTACCATAAGCATTACCATAACCATTACCATAAACATTACCATTACCATTACCATTACCATAACCATAACCATTAAAATAACCATTACCATAACTATAACCATCATCACCATTACCATCATCACCATTACCATCCTCATCACCATCATCATCACCATCATCATCACCATCATCACCATCACCATCACCATCACCATCACTGTCTCCATCTTCACTGTCATCGTCATCATCCTCATCCACCTCTGGTAGAATCTTAATTGGGAACTCATCTTTATTGTACATTAATGGAAAGAGCTTCTCAGTGAAAGTGTGTGTGAA